AAACCAAAAACAAAACAAAAAAAAATTTTTTTTTTTTAAGGATTTTTTGAACAAAAGGGCAATTTCCTCAGACAGCCTGCTGACGCTCTTGGCCCTGAGCTGGAGCTGCAGCCCACAGGGCCAGCTCACCAGCCCTGATGTTCACCTCTGGGTCGTTTTCTTCACTCTGGTTTTCACTGCCTCTCACCCACCAGATCATCACTTTTACTTTCCTTTTCCCAATTTATCAGCTTCCATTTCTCTGGCCCAATTTTCAAAAGCTAGTGCCAGGGGACTAGCAGAGGCTCTGGCTTTGTCCCTCTCCTCATGGGATGTGATCATAGCCACTGAGGGCTTCCATGGTCTAGCCAGGTCTGAGCCTCATGCTCTGCCTCCATTATCTCATGGAATCCTTGCAAAAATTCTAGATGGCAGGGACCATCAAGACCATGCCTGTTTAACAGATGAGAAAACTGAGGCTGTGAGCCACTAATCACTTGCTGAGAAAGCAAGGAGCTGGATCATCTGACTGCAGCCGTGCTCCCACCCTGCATGAAGGAAGCAAGCCATGAAGCCATCATTCATTGCACGGGCTTCTTAGGCAAGCCCTCTGTTTACCATTTTAAGGGGCAGTAACAGGATAGCAGAGTTTATTGAAAGAGAGAGAGGAAGAGCGGAGGAAGCAACCCCATGGGAGAGCAGGTCTTATCAAATTGGAGAGCAACAACTCAGTTTTTTGTGAACTCAGTTTTCACTGGGGTTAAGGGGCACTCTCCAGAGGGTCCCATCTGCGTACCACTTCCCAGCTCCTGATTGACAGATTACATCAGACTTCTAAATCCCTGTTGCATCTAACTCATGAGTGTCTCAGGGGTGAAAAAATAATATGTCAAGGACCTAAAGGCAACTTTGATCATCCTGGCTTTTGCCTGCTGATTTTACCTGGAACTTGATTTCACAGACCTTGAAGCCACTGAGCTCTCTAGTCTCAAGGCAGAGCACTCTCTCTTCCCTTATTTGGGGAGAGCTTCCAGCAAAACTTTTCAGTCCTGTGTATAATATGTTGTTTGTCATCAGCTTTATCCTAAACCAGAGCACGGCCAGGATGACTTTGTGTGCAGTTTCTCAAAAAACATGATGAAGTTAGGAGCAGCTTTATGGTTCTGTTTCACTGGAACAATGAGGAAGGCCAAGGAAAGACAAAAGACATAGTGAGTTCCAAGATCTGCCATACTTGCACAAAGCTGAAGATTTGAGGCATGTGGCGGGAGGTGGAGGCTGTTGAGGCTGGGCATGTGCAGTGATATGGAGCCTTGCCATGCGAGAGGGGTGAGATGGCAGCAGGAGAGGAGCCAAGGCAAGGGACAGCAGGATTTATGCTTCAGAGAAACAGCACTGGGCTCCATGTGGAGAGTGATGGAAGGCAGATGTGATAGAGGCCCAAGGGGCAAGCTCAAAGGGTCATGAGCGACCAAGGTGGGGACTGATGGTGGGCCAGTACTTAGCCTTTGTGCAGCTCAGTTTCTGTTGGTTGCCTAAGGTGACTAGGGTGTGGGCCCAAGTGGCCCAGTAGACACGACTCACTGGACTTAGAGTTCACATGCCAAAGGCCCTCAGCCTTTCTGCGTGGATGCTCACCAGCTGCTCAAACTTGTACAGAATCATGGCCCCAGGCTTCCCTGTCTCCTCCGTTTCCTTTTTCAATGAATGCTATCCACCGGGAATCCTGGGCAAAATCCCATTTCTTCCCTTTCCCTCCTCCTGGCAGCCAACCAAGCCCCAAATCCTGGAGATCCCAGGATTAAAATTTCTTAACATTAACAACCTCTCTTCCTCCTCACCCATCACCACCCAAGTCCCAGGATTCGCATGCTGCGGAACAGAGACGTGGCAGTAGAAGGTCAGAGGTCACAGTGGCCACAGGAACAGGGTGCAGCCAGCCCACAATGGGAGAATTAGAGTGCGCACAGCTGTCCAAATCCTGGCTCCCTCCACTATCGCTGGGCTGTGTGACTCTGGGAAAGTCACTGAATCTCTCTGTGCCTTGGTTCCTTTGTCTGTAAAACAAAGAAAAGAAGAATGCCTTGCCTAATTATCGTTGCATGTAATTATACAGATGTTATGCTATGGTAGCTTATGATATATTTTAATTACTTACTGCATATTTATATTTTCTTATATAATAGTGTTGATTATTATACTACACATATTTTATATTTATATATTTCATTATATTTCACTACAGTATAAGATATAACATAAAATAACAATTATTTTAATTATTATACCATAGTAATTTACATATCTTAATTAATCATTATATATCTATACATTTCTGGGATATGTAATGTAATGCAAACTGCATTAATTTTATCATAATATATTTTACTTATGATATATTTTCATTGTGATTCATAATATAACCTTAAATAATAGTAATGTTAATTGTCACTAACATTAGCAACACCTCATCCCTTGGTGGCTGTGAAGATGGGAGAGGGGATGCCCCACACAGTGCTTGGCATGCAGCACGTGCTGAGTCTCAGCTCATACGATTGTTACTATCAGTTTCTCAAAAGCTTCAGAGCAAGGTTGGCGCCTGAGCTTTCCCCAGGTGCTGAGACACCTGACCCCCCTGGGTGACACACCTGCCCTTCTCAGCCTCTTATCTCCCTTTGGCTTATCCAGCTCCTGGTCTGGTTGCACTGGGTACTGTGCAGAGTATGAGATTGGGACAGGATGCTGTCAGTGTGATAGTGAACTCATGCACTGCCCGACTGTCCCTTCTAGCAGGTCAACAAGTGATCTAGGCCAGGTTTCTTCACTCGGTTACCACCATGCTGAAAAATACATAATGCACCCAAGAACTTGAGAGGCCTTAGACAAAGTGTGCACTTTCTCCAGGCAAGTGATAAGATGGCTATCAAGTGTCTTTAAGACCCCTGGCAGTCCTAACTTTCTATGGTTTAATAAATACTTGCTGAGTAAAAAGCAATATCTCAACACCACACTGAGGAAGACATTTAGCTTCCCAGTGGGAAAGCAGCTCTTGTCCTGTGTCTTAAATTCCCATGTACTTGGAAGATGTGGCCACCTTGGTCACTTCCAGAAGAAGCCCAATGTTAATGCTTACTGCAGTATGTTATCGTCAGCTTCCATTGCTATGACAAAATACCTGAGAAAATCAGCTTAGAAGAGAAAAGATTTATTTTGGCTCACAATGCTAGAACTTGCAGTCTATGATCATTTGACCCTTTCACTTTGGGCCTTTAACAAAGCAGAACATCATGGCAGAGAGCATGTGGGAGGGCAAAACTGCCTATCTCATGGCAGCAAGAAAGAAGACAGAGAGAGGTGGGAAGCGGGGAGAGGAAGGGACCGAGGACAACACACCTCGGTCATATCTCCAGTGACCTGTTTCCTGAAACTAAGCCCCATGTCTTAAAGTTTCCACTACCTCCTGATAGCACCACCATCTCAGGACCCAAGCCTTCAACAGGTAAGACTTTTGAGGAACATTCCAGATCCAAAGTATAATACAGGAGCAGTCTGCAGTCACACACTGTGTCTGTTAGAAAAATAGCACCTACTGACTAAAACCGTCAGAGACCTAGATTTTGTGTGTTAAGTAAGAACTTATGCAAGGTAGAAATATTTTAGAGCCAACACTTTAAAGAAAACTCTGGGGAAGGGGAAGGCTGAGCTTCCTTTCTGCAAGACATGGGGAGCAGGACAGAGCAGCAGGTAGAATTTCCACCAGCCCACTCTAAATACATAGACCCCTCAGTAAATGCCTTTTGGATGATTTTGGTTTTCTGAGGCCAGTCCTTGGAGAACAAGAAAGGGCTCTTGATTCCATTTAACCTGTGGTCTTAGCATAATCTTCTCCCAGCTCAACTGCATCCATCTACCCACACCTGAAATTGGTTATGCTTCGCTTCCTTATGGAGTGTCAATACCTGGGGTTTGTGGAGTACGCACAAGTGCCATTGGTCTATATTGAACCCATCGCAAGCAAAACCACAGTAGACCAGCAAATCAGGGCAGCATATGAAACACCCAGGACTTGGAGCCCAAATCAGTGCTTCCCCTGTACCATAATCTATGGCTATGCTTCCATGTCACTCTCCGTGAAAGGGTTTGAACCTATCAAAATGTGTAGTGTGAACAACCTGGATCTTGCTTAAAATGGAGTGTGAATTCTTGATGGCGGGAAGGAAAGGGAACACAGGAGGCACCATCTCAGAAGCAGGCAGAGCGCAAGTGTGGCTGAGAACGGGCATCTTGGGTGTGGTCATGTGGTTGTGGCCTACTGACACGTCAACATGACACACCCTGTCTGACACCGGTCCGCCTGGGCCACAGTTCTGAGGAGCAGTGTTGGCATCGTTGCCCTGGGTCCCTGTCATTTCCCATGTCTTTAAGATTTTTTTTTCCTTCTTTCTGTTTCCCTTCTCTGGTCTGCAGTCTCTACCCCACATTATACTGACTTACAGGGTCTTTCTTTAAAATCTCAGGGGAAATCCCATTGATATCCAGTTCAAAATCTCCTTAGCAATATGGTCTAGTTTCTCAGAAGACTGTCTCTTTGCAGAAGACTGTGGGTGGGATTCACCAATTTAGCATATTTCTACTAAAAATATGACTCTGTCCCAAGAAATTGGTTTCAACGATTTGAGGGAAAACTGCTTTCAGATTTCGGAGAAAGAGCAGAGTGTTATTTCTTCCCCCTCCCCCACAACCTTGTTATTCTTATCTGATGACACTTTAATTTTAATCAGGTTGACATTCAGTGGTAAGCCTGTGGTTAACTCAGGCATGGAAGCCTGTCACCGACTCGAGGGTGAGGAAATAACCAGCTCCTCACCATTCCTTCCTGAAGCATTTGAGACCCCCAAGATGACACAGCTCAGAGACAGCTCAGAGACAGCTCAGAGACAGCTGAGTGGAGGGATACTTCTGGTTCCCTGTTTCCTTTGTTGTTGTTGTTTGTTTGGGGAGGGTTTGTTGTTGTTGTTGTTTGGGGGTGCTGGGGATTGAACCCAGGACCTTGTTCACTTCAAGGCAAGCACTCTACCAACTGAGCTACATCCCCAGCCCTCCTTTTTCCTTTTCAAAGTAAAGAGAAAATAACTAGATCCCCTAACCCATAGTTTGGGGTTTTTTATTGTTTGTTTTTATAACAAGTACTGATTTTTTTCCAAAAGGGTCTGAGCCATGAGTCACTCATTCTTGGCTTGTGGGAACTCTGACCATTTGACACGGTCAGGGGAAGCCAGGCTGCAGAAACTGTGGGTCAGATAACACAAATAACTCACAGATGAGCAGGGGTAATTAAGGGAGAAACCCATGCCCGGTGGCCTTGAGATCACCTGCCCCGAACACATGACATCCCCTCTCCCACCAGAGAATCAGGCACCTTTTCTTTGATGACAGTAACTTTCTTTAAATCCCCTTAAAAGAAAATAATTATCCTTATAACATGGCACCTCACTTCTGCCTCAGTTTCCACAGTGTTTATACTGCTGGAATGAAAGGGCAAAGAGGGATCCTCCCACTGGGGATGTAGCTCAGTGGGAGGGCACTTGCTTAGTATGCCCAGGGCCCTGGGTTCCATCCCCAGTACCAAACACACACACACACACACACACACACACACAAAAGAAATTAAAATAAAGCAAAAAAGTCAAAGGTGGATAATTGTTTGAATAAACAGATTGATGGGTAATTGTGGGAGTTCTGTGTTTGGGATTGGGGTCTCTGACAAACTTTGTGATTGTGACATGCTTGGTAACTAGGAAGTTTCTATGCAAAGACACAGAATGCCTGGCTGCTAGGATATACCTGGCTACTGGGAAACTCCTGTGCAAAAGCACGGGATGCCCAGTTGCCATAGCAACATTCTTCACACGTTTACCCTGTTTCTCCAGGCTAGGAATGCCCAGCAAGTTTCCCCTCCTTGAAGCTACTAAGATAACTATGCAGGTGCATTATCTGGTTTCCTTAGCAATGTCCTTGGAGAGAAGGGGCTCTGTGTTTGTACTAACCGGGACCTTATCTCCGTTAGCTAGCACTTGGGCTTAATGAAATACTAATGAGGATGTGGTCATGGTAATGGTGGTTTGTAACTTTTTTTGAGTTAATAAACTCGGCAGGAGGGAGGAGTGGACACTTCATGTCTACCTACACTTCTTCTCCCTCTTCACTTCCTCCTCGATGCTTCTTCCCCCTCGGCTCCACCTTGTCTGCCTACCCCTACCCGGCCTCTGTCTGTCCTTTTGTTCATCTCTGCACAGGTGTTCTCCACAGGTATTCTTTATAGATAATATCACCAACACCAGTGCTGAAACACCCAAATATTCGCTCAGTGCCTACCACAATTCATTGCAAGGGAGCTAAGAAGCTAAACAAAGCTTACGGGCTGCTCTTGGGTGCCCATCTAGCCCAAAACAATGGAGGGCAGTGGGTAAGATCTGAAGTTCCCAAACCACCACTTGTATTTTGTACTATCCCATTTTTTTTTTGTTCTGGTCCAATGCATATATAAATTTTCATATTGCTGTAATTATGCTATTCTCAAAGTCCTTTTACCACCTCCAGAAAGATGTTTTAGTCTTAATCCTCTTGTTGAATTCAACTACTGAGAGCTGAGAGCAATGATGGAGACAGTTGGTTTGAGAAATAAAATTGGGAGTCCAACACTCCTGCTGCATAGAGGGCCCTGGACTGGGGGAAAGCCATTTTCCTCCTCTGTCAATGGTCAGATCCACAAAAGAAAGAAAAAGGCCCTGAGTTTGTGTTTGCCTTAGGAAGAGGCTTCAGCAAAGAATTAGGTTGACATAAAAAACTTATTTGTTCTATATATAATTTAAAATTAGTAAAACTTCAAACAATACAGAAAAGCCCTAAGATTAATATAGCTATCAAATATCCATCCTCAGGATTCAATGAATGTTTATAGTTGACCTTGGTTGCTTTATGTTCATTTTGTTCTCGAGCTTGAGAGGTACCCCCTAATGCAATGTGCACTACTGTTTTTTTAATTTCATTTTATTTTTGTTTTTCAATATATATTAATAGTAAACTTCCTTTTGAAACTTGTTTTTTCACTTAACAAATTTTTACTTAAACTTGTTTTTGAAATCTGCTCTTAGCAATGCTTGTTTATGCATTTAATTATGATTCTATTTTCTGATTATGCCAGAGTTCATTAATCTAATGCCTTCTTGATTTTTTTTCCTATTATAAGCAGTGCACTAATGAATAGCCTTGAATGTATGCACATGTACAAAAATTTCCCTAGGAATTTTGCCTAGAAAAGAGATTGCTCATTGTAGAACATGGACAGCTTCAATCTTACTACCATATTTTTAAATTTCTCTTTGAAACAACTATGCTATTTTACAGTCCCACCAGCAATTTATGAGATTTTCTGATTTCCTCACATAATCCTCATTATCATTAGCATTGCAAAATCTTAACATTTTTGCCAATCTGGTAGAATACTATGAAGTCTCATTGTTGTCTCAAGTTTCCATGATTCCTGGTGATAAAGAGCATGCTATCACAAAGTTATTATTTACATGATTGCTTTTTTATAATCTTTATCCTTTTTTACTGGGTTGTTGCTTTTTTACTTATTGATTTGTAAGAGTTCTTTGTATATTCTGGATACTAATTCTTTGGGTAATTGCCTGTAGATTTTTGGATCTTCTAAGTTGATGCCATTATTACTTACAAACAACAGTTTCATCAACTCATTATATTTTTTCACGTGTTTTATTGAATTAGTTAATCCATGCAACACATTTGAATAAAAGTAGAGATTATGTATATTTCTGCCACATTTCTGACATTAAATAGATTTTAAAGTATAATTTTCTGTAAATTGGAGTGTCTTCCCTTTAGAACTCTTTTTTTTTTTGCAATACTGGGTATTGAACTCAGGGCCTCAGGCTTGCTAGGTAAGTACTCTATCACTGAGCTATATCCCCAATCTTTCTCTTAAGTTGTTTAAGAAACTTCCCTTTTATTTTTAATACCTTAAAAGATTTTTTTCTTTTAATCATTAATGGCTATTCTTTTAGTCATCATTAGATGCCCCTTATTATCAAAATTATTACATGATTTTCCTCCTTCAGATAGTAAAAGTAATGAGTTACATCAAGAGACTTTCCACCCTAAACCATTCATAATTGCTGGGATAAATTCAAATTGATCAGAATATTATTTTCTTCTTAATATATTGATAGAATCAGGGCAATTATTTTATTCAATAGCCTGGCATCTATTTTCATAAGTGAGACTGTCCTATAGTGTCCTTTTTTCTATAGTCTAATCCAATTCATAGAAAGATTAAACTAACTCTGCAAAAAGAACTGGGGAGACTTCTCTCTTTTTAATTTTACTGTTCTGAAATAGTTTTTATAAAACAAATGATATTTTTGGTAAAACTTACTTTGTATGTTTTAATAATTTTTAATTATTGATTTAATTACTTTATTGGTTACAATTCATTCTACTTCTTTTTGAATCAATTTTTTCTTCCTGAATCTATTTACTGATTTATCTATGGTTTTGTAGTTGCCCATTTCATCTGTTTTTAAATGTATTGACAATATATATTTTCACAGTGGTCTTTTATTTTCTTTTAAATTTCTATTCCTCCCTTTTCTTTATAATATTGTTTCTTTGTGTCTGCTGTCTTTATTCTTAATCATTATTATTTTATTATAGTAACAGAAAATGGACCAAGACATAACATATAGGTTTAATATTATTATAACTTCTCATGATTTTTAACTGTGAAAATGGTTTTTGTCTAGTTTTGTTCTCCTTCTCTCCCCACCCCCTGCCTCTCTCTCTTTCTCCCCCTACCCCTCTCTTGGCTGGGGATCAAACCTAGGATGTAGCATATGCTAAACACATGTACTACCACTGAGCTATACCCTGATCCCAGTCTAGTTTCTCTTATGTTAATGTAGTTTCAGAAATTTCTTTGGATAAATAGTTACATGGAATGTATCTTTCAACCCTTTAGTTCAAACTTCACATGTTATCATATTTTAAAGAGCTCTTACAATACTAAAGACTGGACTTTGGTGGGGTTTTATTGCAGGGTGGAGGGGATATAGAGGGGCTTTTTCCCTCAATTTGAATAGCTCTGAATTTTATAAGTTTAATCCATTTACATTTATTGCATCATATTTGAACTAGTCATGTTATCTTTTTTGGAATTTCATTAACCTTTATTTTTTGTTGTCTTTATCTTCTTTTGTATTGAATCAATTGAGTTTCTTTTGATTTCTTTCCTTCTACTGGTTTGCAAGTTATACATTTTAATTCTACTTTTAGAATTAAGCCTTCTTTAAAAAAAATTTTTTTTTTAGTTTTATATGCAGTGCTGAGAATCGAACCCAGGACCTCATACATGCTAGGCAAGCACTCTACCACTGAGCTATGACTCCAGCCCTAGAATTAAGTCTTCTTTAAAGATCTCCAAAATGGTCTTAACTTTCCAAGTCCACAGGTAATTAATGTTTCTCCCAGTTCTCAGATCCACTGTTTGGAGTTTATCACATTGCTTGTAACCAAGGATCAAAAATCATTTTAAAATGTGATCATTTTCCGTTACATTTTCTGCTTGGCTATTCTTCAAATAAAGAAAATGTTGAATTTTATAAACTGATTTTGTATTTGGCTACCCTGCCAAACTCTTGATAGTTCTAATACCTTACCTGTCTTAGGTTTTCTAAGTACCTATTTAAACTGCTCACACACAATGATTATTTTGTCTTTCTTTTCCCAAAAGCTATACATCTTATCTGTTACCAGTTTTATCAGGTCACCAATCATTTAGATCCTTTTAAAGTTAATTGGAATGAGGAAAATCCAAAGATACTACTTAGCCTTTCAGTATTAAAAAAAAAAAAAAAAAAAAGATGGGTTCAAGAAAAGAGAGACAAGGGCAAAGTGGACAGTTACTATGACAGTGTATCAGAAAGTAAGAAGTGATGCAACAGTGGCTAAGAAAATAATGAAAAAGTTGCATATATGTAACATAATGTATGCAAAATAGTTTAAATAAATAATTGG